CACCGGCTCGATTGGGCATTGAGGTGTATTGGGCACCTTGGACGTCTGACCCCGTCCGAAGGGCGTATGATCCGATGAACTGGACACCGGCTCCCAATGGACTGCGGTTTTCGCACACCGCCCCGCTGCCTTGTGGGTCGGGCTTTGGCTAGCCGAAGGCTCCGGTTGTGGATTCCTCAAGAAAATTCACCTGCCTTGGCCTGGGCAACCTGGCAGTACTCAGCCCACAAGCCAATCGTGGAACATTTTTCTTTTTATAAAGATTATTGTACCATGATTTGTTTGGCACACAGTCTGTCCTCAGACAAGTGTGATATATATATATATACCTCGACCAGATTAACTACGTGGTTTGACTATACTAGGCATGAAACGATCAAACTGTTGATGTTCCTAATCACTATTACTATGATACTTTGCTTGCACACTAATTATTCTTTGAGGCAGCAACCAAAACCGGCGCACGAAAGTGCATGGTTAATGTTAGATCCGTATAGAAATGTTTGGATTACCCATAACGAGAGTAAAGAATGTTCGGTTGTTAGTTGACCGGAAAAAGACCCTCCAAAAGGGTCGAAAGGTCATCAACCGAAAATTGTTTTTTGGTTTTCTCTCATTGTGGTTTATCGACATATTCTTATACAGATCTAATACTATGAGCATGGAGCACAATTTCTTCAAAGAAATCCTTTCCAACTTTGGATTTGATACCGTGCATGGTTAATGGTTGTAAAAACTGAAACTGATTTCTCCCTTTATTTTATGGAATCCGCGACTTATTTCTAAAATACAACAGACGCGGGGTGAAAAGCGGTCACGCTTAACCGCCGAATTTAATGCATTCATCATAAACCGATTTTGAATTTATTACACCGCACGTGTTCGTTGGTTTATTGCAAACCCATAATGCGATTGTATATGGGCAATGGTGACTTGGAATAGAATGGGCAGTTGTGATTTTGTTATTGAATCATTTTTTCGATAGAGTGGTTGTCACAGTATTATTTGAATTACTTCAAAGTTGCTTACATCAACCACTAATTTCTGTTTTCTGAAAACCATCGATTAGTCTATTTCACCTTCCAAAACTTAGTATTACCATTATTCTTTGGGTGGTGGTAGCACACTGGTTTAGTCACTGTCATCGGCTTGATTTGAACCCTGTGGTCCAAGGTTCGAGCCCTGCCACCGCCACCCAACTTTCGTGGTAGACAGCTTTGCTGTCGCCTGGTTCTATACCATGCCTAATCTAGCCGAGCCCTATATGGTTCTCCGCTCCAAGTCAAGGGGCTTATGTAGCCGGTTACCATTATTGAACAGTAGGTCTTCGTGACCATGGGATTCAACCCCGTCTGCTGTCTATCACACACCGATGTGTAATAATAATAATGATAATAAAAAGGTCAAAAAAAAGTACACGTTTAAAAATTCTGAATTTCAGAATGGAAATCATTCGCGATTCTTACCATGCCTTGTGCTTCGGTCACTGTTTTACCATTTACTTTTCTCTCATGTGGGCTTGCGTCTGTTGCTGACGCATTCAGCCTCGAAGGGCTTGCCACTGAGTTCACTGTGACAGGTGGTGCGGGTGGACTTGGGCTGGTCACTGTTCCTCCATCCGGACTGGGTCTTTGACCTCGGAGCAGACTGCTTCCTTGTTCGGACAAGGGCAGATCTGACCGAGAGGATAGACTGTGTTCACTTCTGCTTAGAGCATCTACAATGCAAAATCAAGCGAGTTAAGTTTTCAACTGAAGCAATAAACATGTTTATCAGTTTATATGTGAAGTATATATGATCTTCGAAAGAGGGGAAATGATTGTTTTCAGTTATTTGTAATCACATCATGAACAACATTAAATGTGGTTGATCATACTAGAAAATAGGATAAAAGCTTGCAATTTGCATGTGTAAAATCTTTCACAGTGTGGAATGTTGAAGTAATTGCATACATGTTGGAGAATATGCGGTCGGCCAAAGAAGTCTAATTGCTTGCACACAGTTCATCTAAGCACACATGGAAATATTGTAAAAGTTCAAGGAAGTGGAATCAAACGGCGTTCACCTATCCATCATCCAATCTCTCGCGGCTATAGTTCACGAAAGTCAAGTCAATTTGTACCAGGTATTTCTTGATAAAGGAGGGATTATGGAAGATTGTAGAAGAGCGAGCGTACTCGCTCTGAACAAATCTGGGTCTAAGCAGAAGGTCGAAAAGAATAGACCAGTAATTTTGACTTTGGTTTTGTGCAAATGTCTGTGAAGACACATGGGTTTGTACCTTGAAAAGTAAGAGCTGCTAGCTCCAGTCTTACCTTCTTATTAATTGGAAGTCATTCTTGTCGAATCAACCAGCACAGATTAGGTCTTTTAGACGAGGGTCAGATATCTAGACTTTAGCATAACCTTTGACTCCATAAGTCACCGTGGATGAGTTCATAAGGAAGCAATGGGAAAGTAAGAAAACTGGTGTACGCTAGGACCAACAAACTGTAATCAGGTAGTCCGAAGAGTCGGATTTACCTGTGGATCTGTTCGTACGTCAGCTCCTCACCACAAGGGTTGAACTGGGTAATCAGAATGAAACAGATCACAGGAGAAACAGAGAGGTGTAAAGTTTCCATCGAATGTGAGAAGATCAGTGCTATCGATCTGGCTTCGTATCTCAGCTGGTAGAGCGTGCACGTACAAAGCGTAGGTGGCATCCATGCTTGGGTTCGAATCCCACCGAGGCTACTGAACTTTTCACAATCTCGACATAGAGGTGCAAACGACATGGTTAAGCATGAATTAAAACCACCAAGGCAATGTTAGAGAGCAGTTAACACAACCTAAATGGAATTTATTAGATTATATTCCGCAGTTACACGAAAGAGACCAGAGGATTATATATATATATATGTATATATATATATATATATAAACGCTACCGTAAGACCACACCTAGAATTTTGTGTTCAAGCGTGAACACCCTACTTCTAGAAAGACGGTGATTGTCTAGAAAAGAGGGGACGCCTTGCCGCTAGAATTGATGCGGGACAGAGTCGTTTTAGTTTCAGTTTCAGGTTTTGCAACCAGGTACTTTCATGCGACGGTTTTGGTCGCTGTCTTTTGGTTTTCNATAAAAGAGCAGAATTAAGATTGGAATGCTGAGATCAAATTCCAGTGAAGGATAGAAAATTTATAAAGGCTGCGGTTGCAAGAATATTCAGTATATACACCCGCACCACTGTTTGCGACACAGTCATATCACTCAGCATCTCCAACCACCGGTGACCATGATCTCGGGATCCCCATCCAGGGACCCTAACGGGATTTATACTACCCAGTGTACAGGTCATGGTTTTCATACCCTCATAGCAGACCTTAGTTTGACCGCCCTCGGACAGTCAAGAGTGGTAAGCAGAGATTCTAAGACCTCAATTTATTTTCTTTGAAACGAGAGTCAGGGAGGACTTAATAGAAGTTTGAAAGAAACTTGGCGATTAGTCAAGGATAAAGTTCGAGGACCTAGTCCAAGGAATGCCACAAAATGGAAAGAGAGTGCAAAATTCAAGGCTGTAGCATTACCTAGTCAGACCGGATAAACGTGCCAAGCGTTTCATAAGCGTGTTCGTATCGAACTGGGACAGACTGACCGAAGAAGTGGTTAGAAGTGTCAGTATCAAGATCTGTTGAAGGGCCTTAGATGCTTGCAGGTCCTCTATATTCCCTGAAAGAGGGTACGTATCAATCAGCAACAGCCTACCTAGCTATAGTGGGATAATATCCGCACACTCAGACTTTGAGAAAGAACCTGTCGACGAGCACTGCTGGGAGCCCCTAGATTAGCTAACAGCAAAACGAATTACGCGCACGATTCATCAGGGTTACACATCATCCTGTGCAAGCTGAACCGAACTGAACTAAATCCGAATTCTTGAAGCTCCGGCTGTGAATAGAACGCAATGCTTCATTGCTCTTGATTATGTAAGTCAGACGTTTACAAAAAGGGTGTAAAGACCATCACGGGAATGAAATCGATCCATGTGACTTGTCCATATGAGAGCACTGTTGCCAGGTTGTACAAGCCAAGACAGCAAACAAACGTGCATACACAGTCTAGCAGTTCTTCAGTTTGCTTGGAACGGATAATACTGACGGACAGCATTGTAGGAATAATTTATCATTCGACTATCAATTAACTGAATTAATAATAAGACTGTCATGCATAGAAGCCCTCTTCCAAAAAAGAGGCTTCCGAATAGCTTACAAAACGACATGGCATATGAGTTTTGTTTATCAAACACCCAACCCTGAACAGTCGGGAGTTTTTACACATCGGTTCACTACCTCGCAGACCAGTCTTCACTTAGTTAAAGACTCTGTTTTTGAATCCCCGAGAAAATGACTAAACACTTCAACTGGTACGATCAGGTAGCATTGCACCTAAAATCAGAACATGGATAAATATTCATTTCGTAATCCGTTTGACATAAGTTTAGAATTCATATCATTGTAGAATACAAAATCTTTCATTATGCAATACTCATATTACTCATGTTATAGGGCTTTCATGTTAGTGAACAAATTATTACTTATTATTATTTATGGGCAACCCGATAAAACTGATAATTGCGAAGAATATGAATTGACGATTTGAATGTGTAAAACGAGCTGGTACCAGTAAGGTGTCGCATGTTATTTATTGTTTGTAAATGATTGGTCTGAATAATCCCACAGAGTACATTTCAAACAAAACAAGAGGATGGCGGACAAGTTTGAACACTTTTTACGGGTTTCTTCTTGACGATGAGGAAATGGGTGACCATTGAGATTTTTTCAAAAAGGGAACGTCGAAACTACCCTCCTCATGGCAACCTAATATTGATTTCTCAGTTTTCGTTTGATTTCCTGACTTATTCTGTACGTGAGTTCCGTTTGTGAATGTAGCACGAACCCAGCGCAATGGGTATCGGAGATCGATGACGTCGCTTTCGCACCTGAACTGCCTTCACTATTCTGTTTGACTGATTACCTCTTTAGGATCGTCCTGAATGAGACTGGTGTATCACTCAAATCCCGCTTCACTTTGCTTTTAGTCAAGCTTCAATAGGATTGAGCATTGTTCCTCTGACAACGAGTATCTGCTGTCAACTTCTAAAATACTTCTGTTTACCAAACAAATCGACTGCGCTCTGTTTTATTCAGTTATACTGGTTTTGGTGCCAGGAATGGGTGAGCCACGGTTAAGACCTATGTGATTTTCGTTGCTAGTCACCAAATTTCACCTCAACATCTCCGACCGACTCCTCCCAATAGATTGTGTAATTCAAATGGGCCCATGGTCCACGTAATAAAAAATGCATCGCTCGGAGTGCACTGTAAGCACTGAACTCGCCCTTGGTTGTTGTGCCCTGTCGAACTATCACTGAACCTGGTCTAACGATGCATATCCCAAGGATTCCAGTAAAAAGACGGTTGGAAAACAGTTCTAGCCTATATTGGTATCATCAGCCAAAATGTGGTGGTGGTCGTGGTCAAGTAAGGAATATAACATATGGTATTGATGGGTTTGCTCATTATCACGACATTTGTCCGGAATGGGGGTTATGTGGGTGGCGATGAGGAACTTGCTAGAAATCAGGTCATCGTACTCTTCACTTTTACTCTGACGCCCGTGTATCCAAGACCATCGATAAAACGTCGACACGTTCACACAGTGGTGATTGATTCCAATTCGGTTCTGATTCATACCGTGAGAATTCTCAGAAGAAGGTTAGGCTTTTCCTGATATTGGTTGTAGTTACTGTGATAAACTTTGTTGATTAATCAACCGTTAGAGTCACGCAATTAAGACCGGCTATGCCTGTAGCGCTCAAGGTACAGTGCATCATCCTTTGTGCTTATTGAGTTGGCTCCAGCTCGTTAATCTCGTGCAAATCGAACGGCATTACCGACACAATGAATCAACGTCTGTCAGCGGGCTCGACAACATGCAAGACTGTTTCCCTAACTTCAACACCGAAGGAGCGTAGGAAGACAGATGATCAATCAAGGGGTAGAAAAAACATGTGATCCATTGACCAATGAGGTGTGCTGAACGGAAGCGGAATCAACCAGTGTTTCTTCTGCAGTTCAAAGTGATAGCTTCGTATTTAGATGGTGAATGTTTGGATTAGCCCATTCGGTTTTTCACAGGCACCAGGCACCACTGTTGATGATTTTTGGTTGTGGGTTTCACTCCTTGGAAGATCGTTGATTCCCCACTTTTCGTATGCATTTGAATGCGATGGAAATGTTTGTGATAACCAACAAAGAGCACTGGACATCTGTTTCGTCCTGTTCGGGACTCGTCAACAGCGCGTTCGTTTTGTGTCCCTATCAGGACTCGAACCGTGATTCTTCAGGCTGAGTAAGGGTTTAAAGTCCCAGCCCGAGGAACTGCTGTTCGAGTCATGAAAGATTCGTAAAACAAAGTGATAGTCCCTCAAATCATTCCCAAAGGGGTGGGGTTAGACCAGAGTTGCTTAAGTGTCTGCTCAGTGGTAAGGAGCACATTGTTTGGAGAGGGACTTGTGTAATCGAATTCCATCTCGGCTTCGGCTGTGGCAGAATGTGAATGACTGGAAAAAACTTCCCTGGGAGCACACGACCGGTTTCGCGGTTCTTGCCGCTCGTCAGGCATGTGTATCCTACTACTGCATACTACCTATTGTGTAATATTCTACAAAGACCATCCGGTCAAGTTTCTTGCGGTTAGTAGCATCTAACCCATTCACAATACATCGAATCACAGCGTTGATTCTCCAGTGGGCTGGCTCTGAAAGAGCTGTCTATTCAATGATCACCCTGTGTTGCAAATAAGGTTGGTGTAACGAAAATACACTCCCTGGGTACAAGTATATGAATGAACTGGAAAAAGATTACCGGATACTCATGCCTGACGAGAGGCAAGAACCGCGAAACCGGTCGTGTGCCTCCAGGGAAATTTGGTTCAGTCATTCACATACTACTCATCGTGAAATGTATATATATATATATATATCTATATATATTTGTTCCATCTGTTTCACTCTCTAACCACACTCGCCTTCTTCCCATCCGGTTAGTCACCTACCATACTTGTATATTTCTACATCTTTGGATTCGTGGAGCTCCACCGATTTCTTACCACGAGTGTTACACCTAGGTTGACCAAACGATTCCGCTGATCCATCCTGTTACACGTGACCAGTATCGCCCCCGACCGCTTATAGTTGATCACCCTCTCCGCTCCACTCTCTCCCCAGTTGTAACCTATTACGCATCCACCTCTCCACAATTGACGCATACGCTCCGTATTTCACTAGTTAATTGGGAGAAGTGTGGTTTAGTCATGTGGTAAATTTCACTGTGTACAAGTGAAGCGTGAACTGAAAAGCTAGGAAGCACTGGACAGCTGTTTCGAACTGCTTGGGTCTCATTAGTAGAGCTAATACATCGACCCAACTGGGTGAAAGAACGCACCACTCGAATTGCTTCATGATTCGAGGTTTTCAGCTATTTTATCCTAAACATAATAGGACGTTTCTAGACAATCTCGAATTCTGTTGAATTCAGGATTGGCGCGTCACCTCGATGATCAGGACGGATTTCCAGCGTAAAATAGGTACACATTTTCGATCAGTCTTTACAAAGGCTGTGCCAAAGTAACCGAGGGTTGATAGAAAATTACAAAAATATAGCAAAGACGACAACAATTCTACAAGAACCATCAGTTTCAGGAGGAGTATAACACCGTTCTTAGTCTACTGCATGCAGTTTTTGAATCTGTATCACTGGAAACTGGCACAAACATAGATAGTTTTTGATCGATATATCAACTGCAAACACTTTCAAACTGCTGAGAATCAATCGCTTAGATGCACAAAGCTACCAGTGGATTAAGTTCTACGGAAACGACAATACTGATTTGTTGACTGAGTTTTTAGCTGCTGTAATTTATCTCTTGGAAAGAAACCCGACTTACTTTGATCTTGCATTTTCTTGTTTGATGGAGAAGACTGTGATGTCGAATTTATTGGAATCTGGAAAGTACACAACAGGAAAACTGATTTTTTTGTGAGAAATCAATGAGAATTTGCATTTCCTACATATTTGAATCGAATGCTCATCTACATCTGACTTTTATGTCCTGAATTAGATTATTCTCCTTCATTTCGATCTAAAAACCACCAAAAACACAAACCCATAACCTTGATCGAATTTGCAATAGTTAAAAGAATTTGATATCCCTACTTGCGGTGCAGTTATCTGTCACGTTTTCACAAATCTTTCATTGGATCAAACATGTCCCTGTCTCTACTAACGAATGGCCAATTAAACCTACAAGGCAGATAAAAAGTGCACTAAAACCTCACCTGGTCCGCAATGTTTCCCCCCTGAACGTTTTCCATCGGGTTCTTCGTCTCTGTGAATAAAATTGGGAAAACACACCGATAGTAAACGATGTGATCGCATTCAGATACGCTGATGGGATGATTATTTTGGTACTGTGAACATAAATATTCATATCGGTGATGAAGAAAGTGAGCATAATTGACATCATAACCGGCAAAACACACCGTTCGTGGCATGATGCGATTGTGTGAAGTCTCTCCTAATGAACTGAGTTCATTGAAACTCCGGTGAACGGACGTCCACAAAAAACAACCAATAGAGTTGAACACAAAATGAAGCACGAGGTCAATCGTGCGCCAAATGGATTGATTTTATCAATAAATTTTCGGAGCATAATGTTGGATAATGTGATCTGATTGGGAACGCTTCAAGGACGGCTGAAAACTGAACACTTTGACTAAGAAACTATATGTTCTAGTGTCTATTTGAATACTGGGTTTAATTATTGCTCAGACCACACTTTAAACGCTCATAAAATAGCATCTCCAGCAAGGAAATTCCTACGTAGATAAATCACCATCATCCTTGTTTCGTCAGCTCTGTATACTAGCCACAGAATTTAGTCAGACAAAAGAAATCGAGTTTTCTGGATTTCATCCAGAATGCATCGTACGACGAAAATCATTTTTCTGTAATCGCTCAATCAATCTTCTGGCAAGTGCTTTGCAGCTTGATGCTGGTTTATGTCCACCCAGTGTACCTTCAGTTCACAAACGTCGTGATACTGGAGCTCAAAAGGTAATTATGCTGGTATTTGTGTGGTCTAAATGATAGGAAGACATAGGGTTGTTCTACGTCTAGTCGTATTTTGATAAAGCAGATTGATCACTATGTAAAGAAGTGCATTAGAAGATTTTGTATGCATACTTCGAAGTAGACCATTGTTACCGTTCTATCTGTTGAACTCTGTCATACATAGATCAAATTCACTTTCACACGTGACCTGGACAAAAGTTTAAAGCTGTCAGTAAACAAGAAAACAACTCTAATCACACTGTCAAGGATGCTTTGCTTTTGCACAATATATAAACCAAACAACTGAGGCAAAACGTCCGCACAGAACCATCTGTAACATGGGTATAAGCTAGCGCTATTTCAGGGGATTATTGTCAAACTTTGACTTCTGTGTGATTTTGTTAATGAATCTTTTGCCTATCCGAGCCGAAAATTAGATTGCTTAAGAGCGGTGTCTGTTTTTCGATTTCTGGAAACTACGACGAATNTCCGATTGCCCAACGATTCGTATGAAGCATGAAAAAAGAACATTTTTTAGCCGTTTCCGCCCTTTTGCTAGTCATCACTTGTACTTATCATCCTGCCCGGGACTCGATCCATGATCCATCTGGTTTGGAATCAAATCCTTACAAACCCCAACCTATTTGGCTAATGTGAATTCACTAGTTTCTTGTTATATTCTATGCAAAACTGCAGAAATCAAGGTCTTTGGGCCGCTATTCTTGAAATTTCATTTATTCTCCACATTTTTCACATGTCCATTGTTTTTAGTGCAAAGACCATGACGTATGTCGAACCTCGAAGCTAAATGATACAAATTTTCAATCACAGTCATGCATCATGCAAACATACTGGTCAAACCGCTGTAGGAGAGAGGGTAGACATATCTTTGATACCTCGAGTGGATCCGTAGGATTCACCTATATCACAAAAGAGGTTTTAGAGCATTGACTAGTTATAAAAGACAATGGAAGCCGGTGATTAAATCAAAAGACTTTGTGCGACGAACTGCATCAAGCCTGAATGAAATAAAAGTCGTATTACAGTCGAGCTACCACCTATCGCTAGCGTTAGATGACGCGGTCAGGTTTCGAACTTCGAGATTTCAGGACTGCAGGATGAGAGTGACGGCAAGTTAACCAACCACCATCCAGTTAGAATGTGAATCTTAACGGCATGTTTTGTACCCTGGTGTTCTATTCATTCTTTGTTCTCAGGATGAAGGGTTTCCAGCGAGCTCATAATTGAAAAATACACTCCATTTCGTTTGGAAAACTAAAAATCAATGAACTAATTACATATCAGGGATGAAAGCCTTCTAGCGAAAATCACGCAGAGGTTTAATTGATCAACATTCCATTTGAACTGCTCAGATGTATAACCCAATGTCAATGCGGACTGAATGCACGCGTAAATCAGGCTCGATTCCAATCTGGTGGAGACTTTTTCATAGAATTTCAAATAGTTACTGAGATTATCACAGTATGTATGCCAGCGGTTCGATAAACGACATGTGTAGGTAAAACCGGCACATATGCTTCACATTTGTAGACCGAGGTAGTTCGGATAAAAGGACATCTCACCGAACGGATTTGCACGGCCTACAGGTGGAAGAAGTAGCGTGGAATACCATCTGAAGTACTGAAAATGTGTAAAACTCTTGATAAAACAAGGAGGTTGAGTAAGCTCAACATTTGGACTCCGGCTCACAGCCCGAATAACTTCCTTCATCCAATTGAGAGCAATTAATGATGAGGATGAAATGGCTTTCGTGAATTTCTACAGCTACATATCAAAGCCTCTCATTTTAGACCTTGATCCCATTTGATTAATAAAAATTGATTTAGCAGATTCTTATCAAAACAGTCACAAGCATTAACTAGAACTATGTCACTATAGTGCTTCATTAACAAGTATCTTAACCAATTTGCTTCATGAATTCTAATGTTCTTGAAACAGGATTCCGATTGAGCTAAAATGGAAAATCAATCTTTACTCACCGATGGAAAGTATCAAACTTGAATATGAATACCTTTTTGGGAACGAATAATGAATTTATTAAACATTTAACAATCTTTATGGATACTCTTTTCTATTGCTAGCGTACTCACCAGGTGAGGCTAACACCTCCGGGGAGCTGATACTGGGAACTCGATCCTGTCGTACAGGTGACCCTGCTTGGTAAACGTTGCTCTTGGATTCCAGCTCCAGCGGCTTTCGTGTCAAATCTAACGCAGAGCCGACAGTGGACTGAGCAAAATGCACAGATTTGGAACCGATTAGGTCCACTCCGATCAAATCGGACACATAGGATGAATCGCTCAACACGGCTTGTTCGTCAAACTCACGTTTAGTCAACTCGTGGAGAAATATGAAATTCTCACCCTCTTCCTCATCTTCATCGTCGTCCTCCACCTCATCGTCCGTATTGGTCTCCTTGCTCAGTGGACTTTCTTCGTTTGGGTCAGAGCTAGATATCAGATCTAGAATCTCTTCGCCAGTCTCATCCTCTGCTGTGGTGGTTGTTCCCTGAAGACGGAACAAATTCTCCGGACCTGAAATGTTGTTATTCACATTGGACTGGGTTGTTCTGGAATTATTCGAAGTTGCCGAACTGATAACACCCGGTGGCAATGGTGGTTTGTTATAAACCACATTGTCCGACAAGCTGGTATCATGTTGTTTCTCTGAAGCTCCCACTTCGTCTCTACCTCCTTGTTCGTAGTACTGAATATCATCATAGGCAACATCCATGAGCGAGTCAAGTGATGGGGATAGCTCGCGTCCACTTCCAGATCGAATGGCTTGCTGCACCAGATCAGCGCATGGTTTGTGATCATACAACTTTGCAAAACTCAGAGCAGTGAACCCTGAACGAAAAATTAAGCCGAGGAGAACTAGTTCAAGTGGATTGTACCGGACCGGTACATAATTGGCATCAATTCGGATAAACCAGTTTATTGAAAGTGAGATGAGATAAAATATCACTAGTTTGTGAGCAGCTAGGCGTCTTGGGAACTTGAGGCTCTCTAGTGGATCGTAAAAAAGAAAAAAAATGCATAGCCAAACTAGGCAATAATGGCCGCAATAATGAACATAAACTGAATTTATTCGCAGAAAAAACAAGGAGTCAAAACAACAGAAACATTCAATTATAACGTCAAAACGTTAACAAACAGGTATTGTAAATGCTCTCATATTCACGGAAACTGATCATAATCGCGGATCCGAAATCCGACGAGATCATTTTCATGAATGGTCGGTCATTCGGTCACATTCGCTCTAATTTCGGGGCATTCAATGCACAGAAAACCGTATCGTCCAATGCAAAGGACACACAAGCTAGCTGAATCCGTTTAGAAAAGAGGATGCAATTAATAGAGCGCTATTCTCCTTCTTCTTGTGGTCCTGAATACCAATTTTCGTTCTTTTTATCGGACGTAAACATGTGGTTAATGCTCAGGGAGGGTTTTGGGATCACTCAAAGGCTTCTAGAATGATGCAAAGGTGGCAGTAGAACGACGGATAGTGCAATGCAAATAATCGATTTACAGATTGATGTGGTGGTGAGTGAAGGGCCCAAACTGCAGTTGTTGTTCGGGAAGAATTAAAATGTTTCATACATTGTCTGGAGGTGTTATCAATTACTCTTAATTGAACTGGATTGGTCAAACCTGTTTTTCCATCATTTACAATAGACTTACTTTTCCGTTTTCTGTAAGTGAACATTAGACTGTATGCTGAGTAGGCTTACCAAGTTTAGAACCCATGACTTTGATTGTGACAGAAAAACGCTTGAAAGACAAAAGAGCTCNGATTTTGGTCCACGTGAGGTAAAATATGGATAAACAAATTACGGAGAATCAGAGCAACAAGAAGTGTAACGATTTTCTTATTTGTATGGCGATTGTGAAAAGTTCAGTAGTCT